GGCTTGGGAGGATCGACCCCTGTCCAGGGCATTACCAGGGCACGGCACTGCTCATCAGGGTAAGAGAGGGTCAGCCAAAAACAGGCAGTGCCCTTTGAGCTCTGGGGCGAGTGGTGTGTGGAGCCCATCACGGCTCTGCCCCGACCCCCCCATGCAGTACGTGCCCCAGCGTTAATGCTGGGCGGGGGTCCTGCTCTCCCCTCCTCCCAGCCCATCGCTAACACTGCTCCTGCCAGAAATGCAAAGCCACTGTTCGTTTCTCTGCCCCGCATCCTTTTCCCCAGGCAGAGAGCACAGCTGGTGGCGGATGGACGGACGGACAGACGGGTGTCTTGGGGCCGGGCCGGGGCTGGCAGCCTACCTGTGGGGGTGTGGACGCTCCAGAAGTCAAAGAGCAGCACTGCCATGTCCGAGAAGTAGAAGGACATCTGGAAGAGAGGCCAAGGAAAGGGCAGCGCTAGGAACCGGCTCGGGGTGATGGGGCAGACAGGGGCTGGGGTGCCCGCACCTTCAGTGGGTCCATGCACCGACCACCCCAGAGGGCTGAGCCCTGATGCCGATGCTCAGCTGGGGTTTCACCAAATGGTGCAATTTTTTTCCCTGATTCCTGAAATAGGAAGAGGAACTTGCACTGAAAATAAGTCACGCCGACCAGGCTTAACTTTTCCCTTGACTTCTAGCAGGACAATTTTCACCTCTAGCAGCAGCTCCTGTGTGTGTCCAGGCTGGCAAGAAAAAGCCAGAGTTTGCCCCTGCAATAAAGAGAGATGAGCCCAGGACTTCACTAGCCCGGATTTGAGAAGGGAAGGTCCGTGGGAGACAGACGGAGGCTGGTGACACCGTCCGCAGCCTGAAGCGAAGCCGGCTGGTGGTCAAAGCCCAGCCACCCTTCGCTTTCCTCTGCCTCCCAGGGGTTTCTCTTGCATCGCCAGGACAGGCCAAAACACCCGGAGCCACAAGCGCGACTGCCTGACGACGGGAGCCAGGGCGACTGGTCCAGGGATGCCTCCCTGGCAGAGGAGCATGGGTCCAAGCACTGTCCGTCTGTCTGACCTGGGGCTGCCGGGACATGCAAAGGCATCAAACTCCCTTCTTTATCACGCTGAAATAGGAGGAGCAAGTATCGCTCTTGTGTAACGAACCCACCTACAGAGCTGATGCCACAGCTGCCAAGCCTTGCTCGTTTTACCACAAAAAATGGAATTTTGTGGGTTTTTTTTCCTCCTCCTTTTGGTGAATCTCTCTAGGTAGTGTTCGCGGGGCTTGCGCCCTCTCCTGTGCCGCACCGACCTGGCTTTGGCCGCGCGTACCCGCCGTTACTGACACCAGCAGATGCGGCTGAAAGGAGCGGCCTCGGCCAGAAATACCATCCAATAACCGGGTGCCCATGCCGCAGACGGGCTCTAACTACACCCTTCGGCCACTCATTACCCAAAGCACATTAGCACGTGTAATTGGCTCAGGCTTTTAAGCTTCCTTTGGCAACAGATTAATGATAATTAGCCTTTAAATGAAGCTATTTCTCCTTTGCAGGCTTCACCCACAAGTCTGCAGCGCTGTGTAAGGAAGAGGTAACTATTTTAGGGACAGGGGAACAGAAGTGACCGGCAGAAGATCCCCTCGCTGCACCAGGTCTCCCAGCCTGGGGTGGAGCCATGTGTCTTCGGGTACCCAGCGTGGCCATGAGGCCAAAACGATGCTCCTTGGGCCAAGGGCCCCTCGCTCCTCTCCTATAGCGTGATTTCTTGCTGGGTGAGATGCGGTGTGCGAAGGTCAAGAGGGCAAGTCCTAAAAGTCTCTGCACTCTTTGCAAGAGGGGAATTACGCTGCCGGGGCGATGCGACAGGCCCAGGGATATTGGTCGGAGGGATGCGGTCCTGTCCTCACCCACCTGCCCACGGCAGTGATTCAGCAGGTGCCCACGTAAGGCTGCACCCAGCTCCTCCTCTGCACCTTGCAGGTGTTCGCACACACAAATAAAGCTGCTGAAAAATATCCTGTGCTACCTCTGCTCATGTGCACAACGTGTGTTTAGTGGCTTAATCCGCCGCAGTCTTGGGGTTACTCTTTGCCGTTAAGTGAAAACCCCGCGGTGCCTGCGTGGAGCACTGTCAGGCTGCCCGGCACATCCCGACCTGCTGCTCCGGTCCGACTGGGACACCCAGCCCCGCACGTCGGGACGAGCCTGCCTTCCTGCAGCACACCGATCCCCGGGTTGCAAAATAACATGATAAGCAGGAAGCCGTCCCAGCCAGCCCAAGCTGCAGCCCCACGCTGGGGACACAGTGGCCCGGGGAGGTGTCTCCACACCGCGATGCTCCTTAAAGCCACCCTCTGGACCTCGCAGGGATGCTGCTGCGGGGGACGGGTGCCAGCAAATCGGGGGGACCCGGTAAGCCTTAAACATCACATCTGAGCTCGGAGCACGAAGCAAACCTGCTGCAGGGTGATGGTTTAAGGCCCGTGCCATGACTTGGGCTCCCGCCGCGGGTGCCCGGTGTAAGCCCGCACCCGCTACAGCCCCTCCATGGGCAACGGGCGATGGGAGAAGCCTTCGGGGTGGGGATGCGGCGGCACACGGGG